CCAGTCAGAGAAAGACAAATACCATATGATTTCACTTATATGCAGAATTTAATAAACAACATAAGTTATAAACAAAATAGAAAAAGAATCATAGATACAGAGAACAGACTGGCGACTATTAGAGGGGAGGAGGTGGGGGGCTAGATGAAAATGAAAAAAAAAATCTGAATTGTCAGTCTGAGTAAAAATTAGGGGTCTGGAGACCATCCATGCATAGATATAGATAGTTACAAATAACAAACAGGTTATAATCCAGAGTTTGGAGTTTGGAACATATATTACAGGTAGAAAGAGTAGTAATCTGGTTTTGTTCTCAGATCAACCTATAAAACTATGTTTAATTTAAAATATAGGTGAAATTTTAAAGACTATAAGTGCATCTAGGGAACATTACATTCAGAGTTCCAATCTGCAATGCCAGGCATGGTAAATTAAGGAAAAGCATGTGGGTTAAGCCACTTTGCTCTTCTAGGTCTCAGTCTCCTTATTCAAATAATGGTCTGTTCTAGGTCTAAAATCCCTTTAGGATGTCAACTAATGCCATTTCCTTCATTTGTAGAGTTGAAGGATAGCCTTCTCTCACAGGTGCTGGAAGTGGGACTTCTTTGCTCAAGCTGAGGTTTTACTGGCTGGGAACAGGAAACTACAGAGTGAGGGCTAAGGAATATAGAGTTAGACACAGGATCCCAGAAAGTCAGTTCTGCATAGCTGTTGGGGCTGAAACATGCTGCTGATTTTGGGTGAATTCCACTCATCTCTTACTTTTCTTCTTCTGACCTCAAGAGGCTTCTGATTAGAAGACATGTTTCCTTACCTTCTCCTCTCCCTTCTACCTTTCTCCAGCTCTTCAAGCCACCATTTACTCTATCCTGGAGACTGTGGATAAGAACACTGCTATTTTGAAAAGTAGGTGATATTTGGCAAGGTAATTTACCTCACTAGGTTTCAGGATGATGATTATTTGAAAAAGGTTTTTTGAGGATGCACCTGAAGCTCTAGCACAGTATATGACTAAGAAGGAATAAACACTCAAAAAATGATATAGGCTACAAGCACTATCAGTGCCATTATTTTATCTTGATTAACATTCTTATTGAGATGACTCAAGACCATCACTGGGGCATGGTATGGTGACTAAGATTAGGGTTTCCATCCTGATGTGCAGCAGTTTACAGCAACAAGTCATGGAATGAGGAAGATAGAGAAAAAATTGTAAGCAAGTGCACCAAGGAGAGTATCCTAGGTCAGCTACATAGCTAGCTGCTTATATGTAAGAAGAGGTATAAATTGGGTACTGTTTATAGAAACATTCCACTTACTAAGGGCAGGGCTTTGTCACTTCATGTTTCAGTACACAACTTCCAAACCTGGAATTGATCAATGGCCAATGAAACCTGAGGTAGAAGACTGTTACTCTACCAAAGCTACAAAGTTTACATTTCCTCTAGGGCCTCCATTAGCACTTGACTGACTCTTATTTACCATAAGGCCTTGATGAAATTGATTGTCTGATTTTGTAGACTAGAGGAGATTATGAGCAACAAATTCTAATCAGTATGGCTATTAAAGGAAAGTGTGGTAATAGCTAACAATCTAAAGAAGAAAAATAGAAAAACAATAGATAAATTATATCACTTCATGGAATAATAATGGGTGTTCATGATAAGAGAAGTTTTATCCTTTGTAGAAGAGGGTAGAGAACCAAGTAGTAATAAATTTTAGAACAATAACTATAATAATGGTTCTAAAAGTTTTCACATAGCTATAAAAATCTAGAAACTTCATTTATCTGGAAAGTTTATTTAGTTGGATTGCATTAACTTCCATCATACTAGATGAATGAAGCATTGTGATTTTTCTGCAGGTTTTGTCAAGTGTGTATGGTCTTGCTTGTTTAGTTTATGTCAGTACTAATTATTTGATTATCTATCATCCATAATCATTGTTACTTTTCCCTATATTCACAAAGATTTTGTATGATGCCACCCTAGGGATTTGTTTTTTAGAAGCACAACTGCCTTTTCTCTTTCAATTAGGTATGTCATTAATAAAATTACTAATTCTTGGGGCATGTGAACTTCTTTCAGTAATGAGGAACACTTAGTGTTTTATTAAAATATATCTAAAAATGTTTTAACATCCACAAGACACACGGAGAGATGCTCAAGCATCATTAGTCACTAAGTAAATGCAAAGTAAAACTATAATGAGATATTACTTCACACCCACTAGAATGGCTGTAATAATAAAATAAAAAAACAGTCAATAATAAGTGGTGATGAAGATATAGAGGAACTAGAACCATTATGCATTGCTAGTGGGAATGTAAGATGCTATAGTCACTTTGCAAGGCAGTTAAGCAATTTCCTAAAAAGTTAAACATAAATTTACCATGCAACTCAGCAATTCTACCCCTAGGTAGCAATGAAACATATGCCCACATAAATATTTGTACGTGAATGTTCATAGCAGTATTATGCATAATAGCCCCAAAGTGGAAACAACCTAAATGTTCATCAACTGATAAATGGATAAACAAAATATGGTTTATCCATACAATGGAATACCATTATGCAAAGTGAGGAACAAAGTACTGATATACATTAAGACATGGATGAATCGCATAACTATGCTAAGTGAAAGAAGTCAAATACAAAAGGACACATATTGTATGGTTCTATTTTCATAAAATGATCAGAAAAGGCAAACTATCAAGATAGAAAGTAGATTAATGCTTGCCTTGAGGTAGGCATGGGATATTTTTGGAGTGATGGGAATGTTCTAAAATTAGATTATAGTGATGATCACATAACTCTAAATTTATTAAAAATCATTAAACTGCATCCTGAAAGCAAATGAATTTTATGATAAATAATGAGTTTTAATAAACATCGATAAGGTATGACCATTTTACAGATGAGCAATGTGAGGGAACAGAGATGGTTCATCAATTACCCCAGACAATGGAAACTAGTAAACTGCAGAGATCAGATTCAAGAGCAGGAACTTTTAACCTCCACGTCATACTCTTCCCAATATACCTAGAGGCACTTATTAATAATTAGCACCTACCTGAAAACTTTTGTTTTATCAGTTGAGTTCAACAGAATGAACACTGAAAATCTGATCTAACAATTTTTGGATACTTTGCTTGCCTAAGTGAAAGATTCATTCAGTCTGACTAGTTCGGACCTGACTAGACAACATGTTAAAATTGTTCAGATTATTACATGATTCACTCATTCAACAGATATTTAGTGACCTACTACTCTCTGCCAGGCACAAGTTTGGGCTATAGAAATAAACAGTGGAATAAGGTAACTGAGAGATACTCCTATATAGTAGGATTCTTGGGTTGATGCTATAGATCTGGTATCCTTACTCTAATATTATAACCAGTATTTGAGCATGTAAGGGTAGTGTGGTAATGAGCTACCAATTCTAAAAGTAAGTATAGCGTTTTTTGAAGTATGTATTACTGAAGTATAAATCATTCACATTAAAAATATATATTGAAGAAACCCTCGGTTGCTCAAGGAGAGTATGAAATATCTCCATATATCTGAAAGTGCCAATTTACAGATTAAGTGAGAGTAATCATGCAGAAAATTTATGCAATACTCCATGATATTTCCTCAAAGAGGGAAACTAGATTGCAGACTATCTATACAGTACTGTTAAACCTATGTTTAAGAGTACTTTCTCAACTGAAGTATATTAAAAGTAAAATAGTTCTTCAAGAAAGAAAATATAGTTCCAAAATTGAAGGGAAAATGTCACTGGCAGTGAAGTCCAAAAAATAAAGAGACATAAGATCAGTGGGCAGATGGTGGAACCACATATTACATAATCCAGTTTATGTGAAATATCCAGATTAGGCAAATCTATGGAAATCAAAAGCACTTTAGTGGTTGCCTAGGATTAGCTGAGGAAAATGGGGAAAATAGGGAGAGATACTAAATGATATTGGGTTTCTTTATGGGCTGGTAACAATGTTCATAACTGATTGTGGTGATGATTGCACAACTCTGAATAGACTTAAACTCACAGATGTTTTTTGTTACTTTAAAGGGTCAATTGTATGCTATTTGTATGATACATTGTGAATTACATAGCTTTTACCAAAAAAGAGGTTGAGGAATATATGAACTCCATTGCAATATGTGGACCTTATTTGGATTCCAATTCAAGTACATAAGGTGTAAAAACAAAATAAACATACTTATGAGACATCTGGAAAAAATTAGGAGTGAAACAGGGTTAAAAAATATATTTTGGGTCATTGGCTTTATGGATATAATTTTCAATAGATGAAAAACAACAGTACACTAGAGAGGTTGTTTGTTAAAGTGGTTCATTTCTGTATACCGTAACCACACTGAAATTAAAATCTCCTTAAATTTAAAGTATATTAAAACCTATAAATGTCCACATGCAAACATTCTAAGAACATACTTTTTTATTTGAACACCCAGATATCTGTCATACAGATTTAAAGAGTAATGACATTTTCCAAAAGAATGTTTTTTAGATGGGTGTTCTCTTAAAGTCAGTATATTACATTGTAAGCTATGTTTCACAGCTTATATTTTTCTTGAAATAAACATGTTCTAAATTAAATTATTTTGTTTTGAATAATTTATAAGTGAAAAAAGAGAGCAGATTTAATTAGTATAGAAAAATAAGGAGTGGGTATTTATTTTAAGCATTTTAGAATATGTTATACTAGTCAACAGATACAAAATCTGATTGTCATCTCCTCAGAGAGCAAATATAACTAAATTACCATTCCTTTATTAGTCCTCATGAAAGGAAAATTCATTGTACAATAGAGAACACTGTCAAAATACAACAGTAAAATGTTTTTTTTTCTTCTTAAATTTTTATCCTTGTATTTATAGATGTTAAATGATAATTTGTTAATAGTTAGAAACAAAACAAAACTACAGAGTATTTTTACTTCTTGATGACTGCTGAAGCTAAAACAAAATCTCTCTTACCATTCTGTTGATCCTTACAAAGTCTTCAGGTTTTTTTGCCCAAGGGGGAAGGTCAACATCATTTACCACCACTTCATCTTCTCTTACTCCAAGATTATATCCATTACTGTTGACAAACATCTCTGGTAGGTAATAAAACTCTGGAATTAGTTCCTGCCAAAAATAAAAATGTAGCATATTAAAACACTTTAAAAATCAGTTGAATAAAAGTATTAATTTATATCTTAACTAAACAGAATTAAATAATTTACATAAACCTAATATGTTATTACTTTATTCTGTTCTTAATTTAATTATCTTTAGATAAGAGTCTAGGAAGAGAAAACAAACACTTTTCTTGAATAATTTGCTTGATAATTTATCTTTATAAGATTTTTAATCTTATCTTGTCACAAATTAGTTAACAGAAATGAGTTATAGAATCAATAATAGTTCACAATAGCATTAGTAAACAAATATATAAAGCTATATTCACAAGTCTACATTATTTAGTAAACTTTTCTGAATATTATTAATGAAATATCTTAATTCAAAAAAAGTTATTGCCAGTTTTGGTTAAAAATCAGGTAATGTCTTCTACTTTTTATTCTGACTACACTAGCAATTACAATACATAATTTCTATAAAAAGGTTCAGTTTTATTTTGTAATTTGGCAAAATAAATTATTTGTATAACCACTAATAAACATAGTGAAGAGATAATGGGCAACATAGTAAGTTTTACATGTTTAATGTATGCCTCCTGAATAGTAAGTTCTTAATAAATTGGATGCCAAAACAACTCGTGTTACCTGCATATAAGACAGACATTAACAACTGGGTTAAAAGCAAATGTTGTTGATGTACAAAGTCTAACATGGTTTTTGTCATTTCAGAATAAATCTGATCTCAAAATGAACTGATTTTATGACCCTAAAAGTTTTTATTTGTTGTACTTTTTTTTTAAGGCACCTGGAGAAAATGAAAACAAAAAACCACTGAAGTTGTTATATATAACCATCTATGCCATGCAAAAATATTAATCTTTTAAAATACCAAGATGAGAGTTAAATTAACTTTAAAATATATTGTGAAAAGCATAAGGGCATTCATTTGTGTAACATAGTGAAACCTCATTGTGGTCTTTTCTAGTAACACATAGCAAATTTTTAAAGACTACCAGACACTGAGGTCTCCAAATAAATTGGATTCTTCAGCCCCCAAAAACATACACAAAAGCTTTCTCTTGGGGCATCCACTCAAGATGATGGAGTAGCTAAACTGAGTTCTAGCCTCTTCCTAAAACCACATCAAAATTACAACTAAACTACAGAACCACCATTATCAAGAATCACCTGGGCCTGGCCAGATGTGGCTCAGTGGTTGAGCATTGACCTAGGATCCAGGAGATCACAGTTTGATTCCCAGTCAGGGAATATGCCCGGGTTGCAGGCTCAATCCCCAGTTGGGGGCGTGCAGGATGCAGCTGATCAATGAGGACTATCTCATCACTGATGTTTCTATCTCTCTCTCTCTCCCTTTCCTTTTCTCTCTCTGAAATCAATACAGATATATTTTTAAAAAAGAATCACCTGAAATCTAGCTGAACAGAAGTCCTATAACTAAGGATATAAAGAACATGCCACATTGAGAATGGTAAGAAAGGCAGAGATGCAGAATAAGCTGGTCCTACACCAGATTTTTAATGTGTGGCAGTTAAAAATCAGGAAGGTTATCTCAGTTAACCCCTGAGGAGTGAGGGGTCCCAGCCTCACACCAGAACCCTCAGCCCAGGGTTCCAGTGCAGTAAGAGAAGTCCTCATAATATCTGGCTGTGAAAATCAGGGGGGTTGTGGCTGAGTGAGAAAGAGGGCTACTAGAGCCCCAGGCATTCCTTTTTAAAAGGCCAAAGCACAGACTTACTCAAACTCATTCTCTCTGAGCTCTAGCACTGGGGCAGCAGCTTGAAAGGTACCAGGGACATATGGTGAAGAACTGAATTGTCTGGCATCAGGGTGAGACCTGGGGGGCAGCTTTCTCCCAGAAGGAAGTGCTGGCTGAGGCCATTGTTCCTTTGCTGAGCCTTACCCCTGATAGAGCCTTCAGACAGGCCCCATATCTGAGTCTATTGACCTGTCTAAAACTGTCTGCCCTGCTCTAGTGATTCCCCGAGACTCCATCCCATATATCTAGTTGCCCCACCTAAGCTGTTTCCAGAGGTTTTTCCATACAAATAGCCTGCCTTGACTCATGCTTCAAACTTTTCTAAGTTCTCTCAAACAAGCAGCATCTGGCCTCTGTGTACCCCATGCCTCTTGCTAAGTGGCCCCAGGTCCAGCAATAGAGGCAGCCCTCCTTGGTTAACAGCTTGGCTTCTCCCCAGCACCTCAAAGCCCAGCAGTAGCAGCTATCTGCAGACCGCTCTGTAGCTCATGGCAGGTGGCCCTGGGCAGGGTGTAGGCAGCGGCTGACCTTGGCCTGTATGTCCCAGGAGAGCCCGGATCCAGTGACCTGATGGACCGTTTCAGATCACACCCAAGAGCCACCCAACTACCTCCATGGGTGACACACTCAAGGGGTGGACTCTGAGCACCAGAGTTGTGTTGTAGGGAGTCTTACTTCATTGGGTAGGTCTCCACACAGTAGATCTGCAACAGTGGTCAAGGCCAGTCCTTGCAACCAATCTACCTGGAGAATAAATCCCTCCCCTTGCTGTGCCAACAGCAATGGAAGCACAACTAAAACAAGAGGGTGCACATAGTTCACACTGGGGGTGCACCTGTAGTTCCGAGGGAGGCTGTTCCCCTAGGACCTACAGGACACTTACTACATAAGGCCACTCTACCAACAATGGGAGACATACCAGCTCTACTTAACATATACAAAACAAATACAGGGAGGCAGCCAAAATGAGGAAACAAAGATGTCACAAATTAAAGAACAGAACAAAACTCTCCCCCCAAAACTAAAGAAAATGGAGACAAACAATTTACCAGATACAGAGGTCAAAATACTGGTTATAAAAATGCTCAATGAACTTAGGGGAAGAGTAGATGAACTTAGTGATAACTTCAACAAAGAGAAAAAAAACATAATTTGGAGGTAGAACACATAAAAAAGAACAAGTCAGAAATGAAGAAAACAATAACTGAAATGAAGAATATATTACAGATATTTTCTCCCAAACTGTGGGGTTCCTTTGCATTTTGAGATGTTTTCTTTTGCTGTGCAGAAGTTTTTTAGTTTGATATGGTCCCATATGTTTATTTTTTCTTTTGTTTCTCTTGCCCTAGGAGATGTATCAGTGAAAATTCCACTACATGAGATGTCTGTGATTTTACTGCCTATGGTTTGGGAGAACATATTTGCCAAGGATGTATGTGATAAGGGACTAATTTCCAAAGTGTACAAAGAACCCATACAGCTCAACAAGAGGAAGATAAATAATCCAATTAAAAAATGGGCAAAGGACCTGAGTAAACACTTCTCCAAAGAGGACATACAGATGGTCAAGAGACATGAAAAAATGCTCAACATCGCTAATCATCAGAGAGATGCAAATTAAAACCACAATGAGGTATCACTTCACACCTGTAAGAATGGCTACCATCAACAAATCAACAAACGACATGTACTGGCGAGGATGTGGAGAAAGGGAAACCCTGGTACACTGCTGGTGGGAATGCAGACTGTTGCAGCCATTATGGAAAACAGTATGGAGGTTCCTTAAAAAATTAAAAATGGAGCTGCCTTTTGACCCAGTGATCCCACTTCTAGGAATATATCCTAAGAATCCTGAAACACTAATCAAAAGAATATATGCACCCCTATGCTCATAGCAGAACTATTTACAATAGCTAAGATCTGCAAACAGCCCAAGTGCCCATCAGTAGATGAGTGGATAAAAAAGCTGTGGGACTTTTACCCCATGGAATACTACGCAGCTGTAAAGAAGAAGGATCTCATACCATTTGGTACAGTATGGATGAATCTGGAGAATATTATGCCAGGCTTAAGTAGAAACTAAAGAACTTAATAAACTCATGGACAGCCTGGCCGGCCGTGGCTCAGCGGTTGAGCATCGACCTGGGATCCAGGCGATCGGGGTTCGATTCCAGGTCAGGGCACATGCCCGGGTTGAGGGCTAGCCGATCAATGACTCTCTCATCATTTATGTTTCTATCTCTCTCTCTCCTTCTCCTTTCCTCTCTCTGAAATCAATAAAGATATATTAAAAAAAAAAAAATAAACTCATGGACAGAAATGATTTAACAACATGGATGCATGGATCAGACTGACGAATCTCAAAGGGATGGAGGGGGTGGGTGGGGGGAGGAGGAGAGATTAACCAAAGAACTTACATGCATATATGCATAACCTAGGGACACAGAGAATGGTATGGCATGGAACTGGGGAGGGGGGTGGGGTTTGGTGGAATGGGTCAATGGGGAGAAAAAGGGACATCTGTAATATTTTGAACACAAATTAAAAAAAAATATATATATATATATATAAAACAGAGACTCAACAATGGAGTAGATAAAACAGAGGATCAAATCAGAGATTTGGCAGATGAGGTAGCAGAAAACACCCAATCAGAAGAGCAAAAAGAAAAATTTTTTTTTAAATGAGGATAGTTTAAGGAGTCTCTGTTAAAACATCAAGCATACCAATATTTGCATCATGGGGGTGCTGGAGAAAAGAGAGAGTAAGTAATTGAAAACCTATTTGAAAAAATAATTACAAAAAACTTCCCTAACTTGGTGAAGGAAATAGACATGCAAGACCAGGAAGCACAGAGAGTCCCAAACAAAATGAACCCAAACAGGCCCACACCAGGACATACCATAATTAAAATGCCAAAGGTTAAAGAGAAAGAAAGAATCTTAAAAGCAGCAAGAGAAAAGCAATTAGTTACCTACAAGGGAGCTCCCATAAGACTATCAGTTGATTTCTCATCAGAAACCTTACAGGCCAGAAGGGAATGGCAAGAAATACTCAAAGTGATGAAAAGCAAACATCTACAACCTAGGTTACTATACGCAGAAAAGCTATCACTTAAAATCGAAGGGCAGATAAAGAGCTTCCCAGGCAAGAAAAAACTAAGAGTTCATCACCACCAAACCAGTATTACAATAAATGTTAAACAGTTTTCTTTAAGAAGAAGAAAAAAA